TTCGCACATTTATAGGTCCAATGGGACGAGCCTGCTTCAATTTCAAGACCTGAAAGGGTTTCGCCTTGGGAAATAGAACCATTCGTGCCGTCAGTGCCAGCTGGACTTGTTACACCACCAGCAACAAAGAATAAAAGGGCCCGGCCTCAACTCGAAATCCCAAACACTGGTTAGTTATTAGCTTAACCAAATATAATCTCGAGTTAATTACAATTGCAAACCAGCCGAAGGGAGTAACCAAAAAGGATCGTGGGAGATTATTATTATCATTATTATGACTAAAACAGTCTTTGTTTGTTATCTTCAGCTGCTTGGAGTCTTCCACACGAATCGAACCAATTGAATCTTGGTCAAAATAGACAATCGAGCAATCACGTAACTAATTCACACGCTAAACAAATGGATGGTGAGGAAACACAAGAGAGCAAAAGTGCATCAGCTTGGTCTGTTATGTCAAACCATTCGGCTCCGAGCTCTGGAAAAAATCCTTTATCTTGCCTAAACGAGAAAAAATCGGATAAATTTGTGGCGTGTCGATTATTCGGGATCGACTTGAATAGTCCCTCATCCGTGCCTCTTTGTGAAGATTCTTCTATGATATCGAGTGATAACATGCCACAAGATGGTGATTCGGAGAATAAATCTAGTGTTTTGTATGACTCGAAAGGCCAATTACATGTAACGACAAAAGAGGTTCAGAGCCGGCATGGCCATTCGTCCAGAAGTCGAACGAAGGTAAATTTGATGTCTTTCTTAAAAAAAAATATTGTTTTATTTTATTGAAAATAGTACTAAGTGACAAAAATGCAAACTTTATGTGGTTACTTTTTGTTTATAACCAATTGATTATTTGATAATAAGTCGAACCAAGGTAAATTTGATGTCTTTCTTGAAAAAATTTGTTTTTAATGTATTGAAAATAGTACTAAGTGAAAAAATACAAACTTTATATGGTTACTTTTTGTTATATAGCCAATTGAATATTTGATAATAAGTCGAACCTAGGTAAATTTGATGTCTTTCTTGAAAAATATTGTTTTTAATGTATTGAAAATAGTACTAAGTGACAAAATACAAACTTCATATGGTTACTTTTTGTTATATAACCAATTGAATATTTGATAATAAGTCGAACCAAGGTAAATTTGATGTCTTTCTTGAAAAATATTGTTTTTAATGTATTGAATATAGTACCAAGTGACAAAATGCAAACTTCATATGGTTACATTTTGTTATATAACCAATTGAATATTTTGATAATTTGTTCTTGAAGGTACAAATGCAAGGAGTTGCGGTTGGCCGAGCGGTGGACTTGACTGCCTTAAAGGGCTATGATGAGCTTATGACCGAACTTGAAGAAATGTTCGAAATTAAAGGGGAGCTGATGCCTAGAAACAAATGGGAATTAGTTTTCACCGATGATGAAGGGGATATGATGCTTATGGGCGATGATCCATGGCCGTAAGTACTCCATTTATATTGCTGGATTTTCGTTTTATTTTAACCTTTTTTTTTCTCCTCATAAGTTGGACCAATCTGTGAGTTCCAAGCGTTTGACTTAGTGAAAAAAATTTCTTGCAGAGAATTTTGCAGCATGGTTCGGAGGATTTTCATATGTTCTAGCCAGGAAGTGAAGAAAATGAAAGGAAATGGCTTAAACTTGGATGGTACCGGGGATNCCTCACTTCTTCAGGTTATGTGAATATTGGGGAGTGCTTGTTGAGAATTTGGATGAGTATGTAAATAAAGTTGTTCTTTGATCAGTGTTTAAAATTGGGGTTTTGTGTCTAAATTTTCCTGTTTTGTTAAATTTGTTTCTATCCATCAGTTAAAGCAATAGTCTCAATGTTATTTTTGTATAATTCAGCAGAAATGAATGAATATCCTTTTGTTGAATTTTCGCTGTATTTAGACATGAAAGTGATGAAAGAAGATTCTTTTGCTGGAATTGGTTCTTGGTAATCTCTTGTGTGATGGGCTTATGATCTGAAATTAGTCCTATCATTTAACAAATTACAACTACATAAAACCTAACATAGGAAAATGAAAAACACAAATCTAAATTTTAGGGACAAAAATATATATATAAAAAATACAATAACTAGATCGAGGAAAAACTTCTTCTCAAACTCATACGACTATTTAGATTTCACAAGCGGTAATATTCCAATTTAAATTTGACCTTCAACCACACTTAGAAAGGTAATTGTTATGCGAGCCTAATGGTTACAACAAATATACAAGTCGACAAATCTACTGATTATGCTGCGAATACCAAGTACAAATTGTCAAAATTAGAATAAATTAGGGGGTGATTGGATATAAGTTAGTGTGGATTTGATTGGATTTGTTTGTTAACAATAATTACTTTTGAAAAAGTTGGTTGAGTGAGATTTTGAGTTATATTAAAATAATATTTAAAATAATTAAAATTAAAATTAATTTGATTTAAGACTATATTTATCCACAACCCAACTCAACTCAATAATAAAAAATTATTTCTCTTTCATCCACCTACGCAACCCAACTTTTAACAACCTACATATCTTTATCCCCAACCCAACCCAATATAATATTTAATTATTTATTAAATATTATCTACAATAGATTTTTTGGTATTGTTTTAGTTGTGAAATTAAGAAAAATAAAGAGATGATAAAATTAATAAGATATGATTAAAAAAAGGTGAAAAGAGAGAAATTTCAATTATGTTCCAAAACACATCAAGAGTGGTCTTTATTTATAGAGAATGAAAAAATACGAATTTTGATAATTTTTATTTATTTTTGTAATGTAAAATATTATAAATAATTTGAGTTATACTTATCTTATCACATTAAAATTAAGCAAGGCCAATCAAAAAGGGACAAGTGTCCCATTCCTTATCCAATCCCAACAACAGTTGAATTAAAAAATAAAAAAATAAATAAAAAAAAAGGAAAAAAACGCCACGGCCGGTTGCGACCCAAGGTCACAACGTGACTTGGATCGCGTAAAAACTGCCATTTCGTTTTTATTTTTTTGTTTTTTTTTTGTCTTTTTTTTGGTGACTCATTAGGTTGGGTCACCGATAAGGATAGTTTAAAAGGAAGAGAGATATGATTGGAAATGATGAACAATTAAAATATAAAAGTGAATTAAAGTTGATATGATGTATGAAAATGATTGATTGATAATATTTAATTATATCAATGAGAGTTGAATTCAGTTAGATTTTGAATTAAAAATAAATTATCAATTTAAAAGTGACCAAATATATATTCGTGACTCTTGAGTCGTGACTCTTGAGATTATAGTTCTTGCTTTGGGCCTTACAAGTTAAACAATTACGATTGGGTCAAAAATATTTTCCATACGGGCCTTTGATTCTCAAAACTACTAGCCCAACTCGGCTCGCCTGTTTACACTATTTCAGCTTCCTTTCTTGCGCAAAAAGAAGAGCAGAGAAAAGAAACACTGAATTTGGGGGAGAATTAAAACGAGAGAAAGAGAGATAAGAAAAGAGAAAAGAAGAAAAATGGATCCGAAATTGACAGAAGTTTCGCAAGTCTTCGAGCGATTTAAAGCGGCATTTGTGAGGAAGGATTTTGATACTTGCACCAAACTGCTGTCTCAGCTCAAGGTACAGCTTCAATTTCTCAGATTTCATGTACTTTTTGTGGGTATTAGTTTAATGTTATGGTATCCTGAGTTTATAGGTCTTGTGGGCTTTTTCCTTCTGTGGTTTAGCTGGAAGTTAACAGATTTTTCTGGGTTGTTCTGCCCTAGCGTGTTATTGATTTATCGTGCTTAGGGTTTATGGTAAGAAGGAACTTGTTGAGAAAAAAAAAAAATCAGATGTGTGTGTTGGCGGCTTGGCGTTGCTTATGTTAATCTGTGCAGTGTATGGATGTTTAGACTTTTGGAGATATTTAAGAAGTCAGATCCGTATCTTTTGCAATATTTTGCTGTTTTTATTCTTTTGATGCTGAATCTATGCGTATGTTGGGAGTTGTAAATAGAGTCTTTATTTACTGAATTCAACTTTTAGACTATGCTTGAGTTCTGTAATTTCTTTCTTGTCTCATCAATCACATGTCTAATGAAATGTTCGGTAAAGGATGAAGTCTGGTGAAATGAGTATAACAGTTTAATCAAATGTTCGAGCAACAAGAATTTGCTTGGCTCAGCTAAATGGATATATTGGTTAACTTAAAACTGTTCGGAAAAGATATAATTCGCGGAATGCTACTCGCAATGTTGTTTCACTTATTTGTTAATGTTTACTGATGTATGATGCCAATAATTATATATTTGATGTGGCAGGTTTTATTGACGGGTTTCAAGAGTCTTCCTCCGTTATTTGAAGACACACCAAATGCCATCCATGAGCTGACACTAGCAAGTAATATGATTTATGCATCTTAGATGTTCTCTCTTTTCTTTTTCTTTTTTACCCCAATTTTTTGAGTGGGCTAATTTTGGACATTTGTCTTTATTAGTGTTCTTTTCCTACGAGTTCTTCTAATTCTGTTCTTTCCCAGGGGACATATATGAGCATGCTGTTGTTCTAAGTGTGAAGATCGAGGACCAGGGTGCTTTTGAGAGAGACTTTTTCCAACTGAAGCCCTATTACACGGATACTCAGTAACTATCCTTGTAAAATTGTTTGTATATGATGCAAGAACTAGGAAGCTAGCATTGCCATACATGCTGAAACTGGTTTTCAATTTGTTTTTTAAGTGTTTTTCTTTAACGATTTTCATTTTTTAAGATCATCTAATAGATGCATGATTCTATGCACCGTGCAAAATTACACACATGCATCTAATTCAAACACATGCCCTGTTAAATACAATGAAGGATTGAATTCAACTACTATCTAAATTTCAAATTTCTAGAACTGTGATAATTCTATGTTCATGCAATTGTGCCCAAAATATTCGATCACCGAGTGTTGTCTAAAAGAAAATCCAAACTGTGGCAGTTCATCTTCACTGAAACAAAGAACCATGTTACAAATCCCGATCAACATTATACGGCTTCTATAGTGTTCTCAAAATGTAGAGATTGATAGTTTTGCGTCCTTATAGATCATTTTCAGTAAGTTTCGCTCATAATTGCATACTAAACATTTGGAAGCAATTTTTGATGACCTTATTTTCATGTGATTGGGCAGAGGCCGTCTCCCGCCTTCCCCTCAGGAGTACCCCATTCTGGGTCTCAACCTTCTGAGACTCCTCGTGCAGAACAGAATAGCTGAATTCCACACAGAGCTGGAATTACTCCCATCTCGTGCTCTGGAAAACCCATGCATTAAACACGCTGTTGAGCTGGAGCAATCCTTCATGGAAGGAGCTTATAACCGTGTTCTGAGTGCTAGACAGACTGTTCCGCACGAGACATATGTCTACTTCATGGACTTGTTGGCAAAGACTGTCAGGTAAAGTTTTTGAACTTATAGAGATTGCTATCTTCAGCATAATAGACAGTACATGCTTATGTGTGTGTGTGTGTGTGTGTATATATATCCTTCTGTTAATTTACTATCACAAATCATACCAGTTGTAGTTGTACTACCTACTCAAGAGAATGTGTAGGTAAGTAGAGGTTTGTACAATTAGTTCTTCTCCTGAAGTTTTGTATCTGATTGTTTGTACCTGTGCTTTTTACGAGCATTAGAAGTTCAAATTTTGTAACTTTTTTTTAGGATACTATATAAGCTCATGAATATGTGATCGTTATGTTGTGCTTTATTGAACTTTTATGTTGGTGCTTTATTGAATTTGTAGGGATGAGATAGCTGGGTGCAGTGAGAAGGCTTACGACTCTCTCTCGTTGAATGATGCTCAACAAATGCTGCTGTTTTCTTCTGAAAAAGAATTACTCGAATACATAGAGAAGGTTAAATTAAATTTNAAAAGAAGAAGAAGAAAAAGAAAGGAGTATTGTGTTTTTAATTGATTTCGAACTTATGACCATTGATGTTGATTAATTTGATGAGCATTTTGTGTTTTCCGGTAACTGCAGGAGCATCCAGAGTGGGAGATCAAGAACGGGTTTGTGTTTTTCCAAAGGGCAAAAGAATGTGTGCCGTGCAAGGAGATTCCTTCTCTGCAGCTCATCAACCAGACACTCAGTTATGCTCGGGAGTTGGAGCGCATTGTGTAAAACAAATGTGCCTTTGCAAAAGAGCCTTTTTTTTTTCCCCTCCCTTCGTTTATCCGAGTGTCATTTCTAGGATAATGGCTAACTCGGATATTGATGAAAAACGCATTTCGTTATATTGTCAGATCATTTTGCAAATGGTCACAAATGCACTCTGTTCAGTACTTCTGAGACAATATATTTGCTGCCTTGTGTTGTGTTCTTTTATATTCCAGAAATCCATTGAACTTTAACAATGTCTTTATTTACAACTTGATCAAGATGTCACATTTGTTTGAAACGTGTTGATGAAAACCATTCAATAATGTTGTTGGTAATCTTATTTTGTCAAAATGTGAAGTTTTAGATTTTTCCTAGATAAAATTCCCTCACGTCAATTCTTTAATTATTAACTCAGACAATTTGCAGTTGATTTTTTGTGCGTCATTTAGGTCTAGGTTGTTTTGGAAATTTTTAGCTTGATTAGACTTGGTGAAATTCGAATTTGGCTCGTTTAACAGTTCTGAGCGAGCAAATATTGATTTGATTTATTTAACAAGCCAAGCACGATTTGATAAAGGCTCGAGTTTGAGTCCACGACCGCACCTTTAGAGTCATATAACTTGTGAAAGAATGGATGACTGGAAATTCAATTTTCTTGAAATATTTCAACTAATTAGTAAAAATGAAATAAATAATTAAATTGTAATTAACTTATTGACTTTTTGTGTAGTGAAAAGAAGAAGAAAAATATCATAGAACAATTGGGGCCAATTTGCAATAACGGTAAAAGAAAATATAGAGAACAGAACCCTCACCTCAGATTGAACCTCAAAAACCCTTTCAATCATATTTTCAACTCAAAAACCTCTTCCCATCTCATTTTCATCTTCCCCAAAAATGTCCGACGAAGACAAAAGCGCGGGCTCAATCGGCCCATCCCGGCCCGAAGACGAAGCCCTCCGCTTCAAGACACTAGCCGAGGAGAATTTCACCTCCGGCGACCTCAAATCCGCCCTGAAGCACGCCAACCGCGCGCGCAAACTCCACCCATCCCTCGACGGCCTGCCGGAGATGATCACCGCCTTCGAAATACTCCACGCCGCCGCCGCAGACGACCAGATTTCCTCGCCGGATTACTACCGGATTCTGCAGGTGGAGCGATTCTCACACCCCAACACAATCAAAAAACAGTACAAAAAGCTGGCTCTGTCCCTGCACCCGGACAAAAACCCGTCCCCGTCGTCGGCAGAGGCCTTCAAGCTGGTCGGAGAGGCCTCGCGCGTGCTGTCGGACAAAATCCGGCGGAAAGAGTACGACATGCGGCTTCGGATCTCGATGCAGTCGGAAGCCGTCGAGGAGATGGGGCCGCCGACGGCGGCGGAGGAGAAGTTCTGGACATCGTGCTCGGTCTGCGGGTTAGTGCATCAGTTTGAGAGGAAGTACTTAGGGCAAAATCTGGTGTGCCCCAGGTGCAGAAAGAGCTTCAAGGCCATGGAGGTTGATAAGGAAGGTAAGAATAGTGTGATAGATGTTGATAAGAGTCCAATTAGGGTTAGCGCCAGGATCAAGGAGCAATTTGCCAAAAATGGAAGTCTGGGGATTGTCGAGAAATGTGGGTTGCTGGTGAAGAGGAAATTCAGTAGTGTTAATGAGGTTATAGAGAGGTCAGCAATGAAAATTGAGAGGAAACACGGAAAGTCAGATAAAGTCGAGAAATTTGGAAATGGGAAAACCAGTAAGGAGGGGAATGATGATTCACGAACAAGGAGAGCTGTGGGAAGGGTGGGATATGGAGTCGAGAAAGAATCCCCTAGTGACGAGCTCGAGATAGTTGAGAGTGAAGAGGATAGCATGACACTTTCCCAAATGAAGGTTTTGGCGAAAAGGATGAAAAGGGGAGTCAAGGAAAATTTGACAGTGAAAGAGAAGGAGGCAGAAAGCGAGAAGGGAGAGGAGGAGAGAGAGGAGGAGAACAATGAGGAAACGAAGGAGAAGACTTTGAAGGTTTATACACGGAGAGTCCGAAAGGACCGTGATGCCGTAACTATAACTACAGTTACATCCGAAAAGGATAATTTAGAGGTTTTGCAAGAGGAGGAAAGCATGAGACAGAAAGAAACCAAAACAGATGGCAAGAGAGAGAAGAGGGAAAGGCGACGGGTTTCCAAGTACGGGAATCATAAACCCAAGAAGAGGGAGAAATCAAGAAATCAAACGGATTTAGAGATTGAGAGGCTCATGGCAAAAAAGGACGGTAATCTGGAGATAATGCCGGTGGAGGATTCGGATTTTCACGATTTTGACCGGGATAGAAAAGGGAGGAGCTTCCAGAAAGGGCAGGTGTGGGCCGTTTATGATGATGATGACGGGATGCCGAGGCAGTATGCATTGATCGAGAAAATTATCTCTGTAAACCCTTTTGAGGTGAATCTGAGCTGGTTGTTGTTTCAGACCAAGGGCAATGAGACCATAAATCGCAGGAAAACGAGACTGCACTTCTCATGCGGGAGCTTTGAGGTCTCTAGGAGAGTCTCGGTTAAGTATCTGAAATTATTTTCTCATGCTGTGGACTGTGAACGGGCGGCTAGGGAGGTGTACCGGATTTACCCCTCAAAAGGGTCAGTTTGGGCGCTTTATGGGGATAATGATGGTAGTAGGGATAACAGGTGTTATAATATTGCTGTATGCTTGAGTGGTTATAATGAGTTATATGGGTTGAGTGTTGGTTACCTCGAGAAGGTGCCTGGTTTTAGGACGGTTTTCAAGAGAAAGGAAATTGGGGTGAATGGGGTCGTTAATCTTGGCAAAAACGACGTTAAGTTGTTTTCGCATCAGATTCCGGCCAAAAAACTGTCGGGTGAAGAGGCTTCAGGACTTCCTAAGGATTGTTGGGAGCTCGATCCTGCTTCGCTTGCTCCACAGTTGCTTGTTGAGACATAGGTAAAAATGGTTGTGGTTTTTTTTGTTCTTAGGATGTTTTCTTAAATCTATTATCTTTTTTGTGTCTTGGTGAGTTGACTTGCAAATGTATTTACTTGTCCGCGGTGGTCATGGATTAATATCCCTATAAACTGGAGATTAGCATACCACACAGTGTGTATATATGGTTGAAAGATATGAAATCTTGACACATGGCCGATGTGTACATCTTAATTTATCCACGGTGGGTAGGTTAGCAATTTCGGCAAATGTAGTGTGTTTTAGTGGTATTTTTTTTCCCAGACTTGCTTTGGATATGTAAAACATTCATGTCCAATATACATACATACTCTGCTGATGTTAAAAATGAAATGAGGATGAAAGTAAGAATTTGGAGAGCTGTACAGATTATTTGTTGCCTGTTTGTATTCCTGTTTATTGTTTGGTTAGTTGTCTCATCTCTTGTAATCACATATGCATGCATTGTTCTTTTCCTAGGATACAACCTTAAGCAATGTGTTTGTATAATTCTTGGAAAACCGGAAAAAGCTCATTAACCCCTCCATTCGCTAACCTATGTTTGGTTAAACTACCTTATAAGTGATTTTCCAGTTTATAGCTTATACACTGAAAGCTAACTTATATGATAAAAGTGTTTTGTAAAATTAGTTGTTGAACTTATTTGAAAAGCTACCCAAAAAAGCTTATAAGTTAAGCTCGAGCTTTTTAAAAAAGTTCGTCCTACCAAACGAAACTTATTTGAATACATGAAGCTTATAAGTTAACCAAATAAGCTATAAGCTAGCTTATTTTGGTTACCCAACATAACCTTAATAAGCTCCTCGTCACTATAGAACCGAACCCATAGAACTAACGTCAATATAGAATCGACAAATCAAATTTGCATCGATATAGAACCAATTATACCAATTATGTGCGTGCGTTTGTGTATGTGTGTGTGTATATATATATATACTTACACGAACTAATCTACTCATCATCATCATCATCATCTATCTTCACACAGGCCCGACTTCTTTAACAATAATGTACGAGGCAATCACAAAACAGGCGGCCTGAACCAGCCGGAAAACGAGTCTCCCCTCTCCCGGCTCTTCAATCTCCGGCCGCCGCCACCACATGAACCGCCTCCACTTGCGGCTGACGCACCGCATCATGGCCAGGCCAGCCGCATCGAGCCGCTCGGCCACCGCCACCTGGAGATCCTCTGGCAGGGATTCGAAGAGGTGGAATCTCGGCAGCACGTCGAGGGTCCCGTCTGACGGCAGACCGTCCATGAGAGACTCGTCGTAGGTGATTTGGTAGTCGTTGCCTTCGTTGTTGGTGTAGAAGAAGGCGGCTTTTTTCGAGCCGTTGAGGATGAGGAAGGCGGGTCTTGGGTTTCGTGAGGAGGAGGAGGAGGAGAGGCTCGGGAGATGGCGTGTGGCGAAGCAGTAGCTTCGGTTGGATAGGGCTTCGACGAGGTTGTTCCAGGTGACGGTGGGCTGAGAGGGGTAGGGGAAGGAGAGTTCGGTTCTCGGGTCGCAGTCGGTTGAAGTGATGAGGAGCTTCACGGATGGGCGGCGGCGGCCGGTGGAGGTGGTGGGGTTGATTGCCGCCAGCGACATGTTTTTTCTTGATTTTTAATGGAGATTTTGTTTGTGTTAGGAATATGGGTCTTCATGAATTTTATGTGTTGGGTATGTATAAGAGGTCTGACTCGAGAAGATTGTGTTGGGGTTTGATAATTAGAAATTAAGTTTTGTAATTTTTTTATTTTTTTTTTATATTTATTGTTGGTTTTAGGTTTGAATATAATTTTTTTGCTGCGTAAATCTTTTCCTTTTTATATAGTATGGTTATCGTAAATCCTTTCTTTTTATATTCTAATTTGAGGTGGGTCTTTTCTTTTTATATTCTAATAATTTGAGGGAGGAATGAGCATACAATGTATTTTGAAATTTGAACTAGTATTGATTGATGATAAATTATATTTTATTAATAAATGTATATATATATGGTTACTATTGATATCAAATCAAAATTTTAAAAAAAAAATGATTAATTAAATATTTTATGTATAAAATATTAAAAATACGATGTAGAAATATGAAAGTTATGACTTTTCAAATGTATTAATAATTTAAAATGCTTTATAATTTAAAAAATTCTTACCTATATTGAGTACATATGTATGGACATATAAGATAATAAGAGTACGGAACATAGACATAGTAGAATCACAAAGTACTATAAAGCAACTTTTTTTTTTTTTTAACCAAACATCAAATATATTATATATAACTCAAAAGCGTACAGCCGTGTAACCAATGGGTTACTAAAAAAGTTTCTCGGATAAAACAACCCTACCCGAGAGCCTTAACAGAGAAGACTACATACAGCTTCCCTAAGGACCTGCTTAGGCCATCTAAACAAAATGAAGAAGATAAACTAAATATACACAGCAAAATAAACATTAGATATACATTACACTTAATCTGGGTTTAAGACCCATAAATCAAAAGAATGCAACAAGGCTAAGATGTCTTCAACAAGCACTGCAACCTCTATATCAAATTGAGTTTGATTAAGAATCTTCCTCCTCAATTTCTTGTCTTCCACTTTAATTTGGACCTTCTGCCATCCTTCTCTCTTCCCCTCCAGCAGCCAATCTCTCAATTGTAGTAGAGTTTCCCCTTCAGACTCCTTTGAGGTTTGTTTTGTTGAGGACCACCTTTGCACCACTGAGTTGTTAATCCAAGCAATCCCATGCACCTGAGGGTTGTCCACTAATGATCCATTAGCACTGGAAGCTGAAGGTTGCTCCCCTACTCCTTGGATATCCCCTGCAGCTGGCCACAACCCTGTGTTGATTTCTTCAAATTCATTCCACTCATTACAAGCTAGCTTTACCACCTGCCTTTCAGAACACCACTCCTTTTGAAATAACCAGCTGTTACGCGTCTTCCACAGCCACCACATCAAATATGTTGACAATGAAACCCTGTCTTTGCCATTTCCTTTGGCCATCACCTTACAGACCTCTGCCCACCATTCCTTAAAAACTATTCCATCCTCCTGCAACCTAGACCACCACACCCCTGCCAATTTCCAAACCTTTTTAGCTCTGGTACAATAAAACATTATATGCTCTAAAGTCTCAGTTTCCTCCCCACACCCCCCACAGATGCTATCCACCTGCATACCCCTCTTAATTAAGTTAACTTTGGTACCTAAGCAATCATGAATACATCTCCACAGAAAATTTTTAATTTTATTCTTAATAGGCAATTTCCAGGTGACAGTCCACATTTGCTTAAACCTATGACCACCTTCACTACTCTCCTCTTGCCCTGAATCAATCCTCTTCAGCTTTTGAATAAACTGATAGGCTGATTTCACTGTGAACAGGCCTTTTTTATTAGGATGCCACACCATTCTATCCTGAGACCCTACTTTGCTAATATGGATTTTGAGGATCTGCTCAGCTATCTCAGGATGGAATGTTTGCAGCACCAACTCTCTATCCCATTCACTCTTGCCCTCTACCATAAGATCAGCTACTTTCCTCAACCTATTCCTATCCACTACCTGACCTACCCCTGGCTTAAAGTTTGGCACATTAGGAATCCAAGGGGAGTCCCATATATTAATAGCCCTACCATTACCTACAGAATATCTCATCCCCAACTCAAAATATTTCCTAGCAGCAAGCCATCCTTTCCACATCCAAGAATCACTATCCTTCTTCTTAACCTCCATAAAATTCTGATTATGAAAATATCTACCCTTAACCACCCTACTCATCAACAGGTTTGGCTTGGAAAGCACCCTCCAAATCTGCTTCAGAATAAGGGCTATATAAAGCAACTCAACTTTGCATTTATAAATTTTATACAGTATACAGCAAGAAATTCCGCAACAGTAAAATCAACAATAAGTTAAAATGCGTAGAAAAAACTTATGCCGTTACAAAGTACATAACCAACAAAAGAAATACTCAAAAACTACAAATAATCAAAATGATACGAATATCACAATTCCATTCCACAAATGTTAAACAAGAGAACAAAATCAACAATCATGGAAATAAATACGGAAATTGCCACCACCCAACAATCCTCCAGTCTGCAATACGGGGATTTTGCACATTCCTATCTCAAATAATCACAGATTGGCCACAGTATCCAAATTTCATTCCTCATAAAAAAAAATGAGAAAAATTTAACAAAGTTCAACAGCAATTACGAAATAGTAATACACACACGGACTCTTCTGCAACCAATAAGAATACAAACTCTTTAGCAGACGATACATAGTAACTCTTGTCCTTTTTCATTCGTAAGATGGGGCAAGACACTCATCAACCATATTGAGCAGGTTCGGATTTTCTAAAGCTGCAGCCACCCGTTCCTTATCATTCAGCTGTTTATTTACTGAAAATACGTAAAACGGCTTCAGAATTATATACATAAATAAAAAGGCAAGAGAGAGAGAGAGAGGACCTGCAGCTTCGGTGGCATGAGTACCCGGTGCAACTCTAATATCCACCTGAAATCAAAAAATCAAAGCAACGTCATTTGGGTTACACAAAGAAAGAAAAAAGATCGTTCATAAACACTATCAGAAGCCGAAAAATCAAGAAAGTCACTAAAGTACGAATCTTTATCACCCCCACACTCGGTATTTATTCTATTTTTTCAGACAGACCAATATAAAATATTACGAGACATAGCTGGACAAACAATTGCAACAACTTGATAACAACAACCAATCGAGAGTACAAGACCCGTATCCACAACTGATTTTCAAAGAAGTAATACCTTGTACCGAGGTGGCAAAGAGCGCATGAGTTTGACCTGCAAGCACAAGCCAATCACAGTTGCCATGCTGCAGTGCTCTACAGTTGGAGTGAATGTGACCCTAAAGCAAATCAACTAACTTCCAGTGAGATTTGGACATAAAATAAGCATACACATGTAAATGAAGGCAAATTCATATGGAAATGTAGATTTCTACCTTACGTGACTCTTCTCGTCATCAACCTCGATGGCATCTTCTGATACAACCTTGAGCTCCTCCAAGGAGTAAGGGTGTTCTGGATCTTTTATGTCTCTAATATGTTGTGTGAAATTTAAGGAGTACAAGATATTTTGAAGTATGAGGTTCTTAGCTCTATGGATCAAACTAAAAGTTTTGCAGCCAAAACAATGGAGACATGTTTTGTTCTCTCACACATACTCTCCCGGACGGAAGGAGATTAAGCAAAATGAATTGTTGGTGGATTTAACCTAACCAAGGAACTGCATATATTTTATAAAATGTCCAAGGAGCAAATGATAAGTGCAAAAAAGAAAGTAAAACACAATAGTAAATGAGATACTTGCCGAGAAGTTCACAGGGAATGAAGGTAAACTAAACATATCAAAGGATATCAAAAATTTCTAATCGGTCAATCTGCTCGACAGCATATTCATCCACATCGGCTGGTGAATTGCGCGCTCGACGCTCCTTTTTCTCGTACACAATTGGGTTAGCATTTATGAGATTTACTACCATGATGAAAGCTCAACCTAATTCCAAACTCAACATTAGCTAAAATAATATTTTTCACAAAAATCATGNATTATATGTTATTTAATAGTTGTATATAATAATAAAAAAAAAAAAACAAAACAAAACAAAACAAAAAACCAATTTTTACATGCTTTGTGTAAATGGACGAATCAATGGCCAAATTAATATCCGCACAGGTGGATATATATGCAATTAATTAAACAAGAATCAAATCAACCACCGTGTAAAACTACAGATGACTATTTTTCCCTTTTCAGCTTTAAGAACGAGAGTAGATAAAGAATACTAACAGGAAAATTTATTCCGTGTTTGATGAAAACGGCCGTGTTCTTACTTGCTTCTCCTTGTCGGAGCTTCGACTGTGACACGAGGTTCGACGTTCCGGCTGCGTCTTCCGATCAGGGGTTGACAGTGCATAGAGCTCCGGCGGCGGTAGAGGATTTTTCTGGTGTTCGCGCGCTTCTTCTTATCTTCTTTCTTCCTCTTTCTGTAGTCGATTTGGCACGATCTAACGAAACCCTCGGCCTGAAGTAAGGCCTTGTTTGGCAATCAAGTTTGACCAACAAATTATATTATCGAATAAATATATTTGGTAAATCAAAATAAGGGCATGAATATATTTAATTCTTTTTTATATCAAAATTATAATTATTGAGGAAATACAAATTATTTATATATTTAAATATTAAAATGTTATTTTAATAATTACATAACAAGTAATAGTCGCAATATATTGAAAACTAATATTTTATTCCATTAGTAAAATCCAGTTCGCTCCCCTACATGTCACCGCTTATGTGGCGTAAACATCACCAAGTATTTTTTCTCCTGCAAACCTATTTATCAATTATTTCCTTTTCTTCTTCCCCGACCGAATTTTTTCAGTAAAAACAGTGATAGGTTATTTCACCTTATCATCCTAACTTAGTGTCGTTTTAGTTTGTGAATCATATGTCAAACTAACAAAAGTAAGAAACAAGAAGCTGGAAATGGTTTTTATTGCAAGTTTGAATCTGAAGTTCTAAATCCTATCCTATATTGATGGTTTACGTATATATTCATGTTGATTATTTTTTTTTCTTACATTCATGTTGATCAATATTAATATTATTGAAAATATTATTGATTCAAATAATTGGTTCAAAAAAGTTTATTCAAAGAATTTAGGATGAATTGTATGCAATGATACTTACATTCAAATTTAAACTATATTAGATGAGACTTGGAGAGATGCACTTGAAACAAAGGGTTTCAAAATAAGTAGTGCCAAATGAAATATGTGGAATATAATTTTAGCAATCAAATGAGTAAGAATATGGTGAAGGTTAAAATTGAAGAACACGAATTGAACACATCTAAAAGTTTTAAATATTTAAGATCCATTTTAGAAGTTATGACAACATATATAAGGATGTAACACATAGAATTCAATCGGATTGGTTTGTGATCGTAAAGTACCAGTGAATTTGAAAGGCAAGTTCTATCGAACAACATTCGACCAACGATGCTTTATGGATCTAAGAATTGGGCTAATAAGTATGAAAATGATAAAAAAATATGAGTGACATAGATGAGAATGTTGAGATAGATGTGTGAGCATAGTAGGTTAGATAAGATTGGAAACAAAAGTATTAGAAATAAAGTTGGGTAGAGCTCATAAATGAGAACGAGAGAATCACGATTGAGATGGTTTGAGCCTGTGCTAGGAGAGACTTCGAGGCACCAGTGAAAAGGGTAGAAATATTAGATTTAAGAACACAAATTAAAAATGAGAGGGGTAGACCTAAGAAAACTTAGAAGAAGACAATAAAAAATAATTTAAAATATTTAAATTTGAATGAGGATATACCCTTTGACCGAGCACGATGATGACATGCGATTCATATTAGGGGTGTTCACGGTCCGATTTTAACTGAAAAAACCGTCAATCCGGACCACGGATCGGTTAAATGGTCAGTTAAAAAAGTTTTAAAAAATCTGGTTGGTTAATTTTTTTAAAAGTCCGGAATAACCGGTCCGGTTAGTGGATTACCTGCGACAAACCGCCAGTTTAACTGGACCGGACCGGTAAATATTAAAAAATTATAACAAATATATATATATACATTCAGTCATTCACTATGACCGACAAATACAATACATTCACTATGAATGTTTTGCTCTTATTATTTCAACTGTATAAACTGACTGAAAAATGAATGCTTGCTTGGGTTCAATTTACATAATTTAATCTTTATCATTTTTGTATTTTTATGTTTATGAGACGAAATGTGTATTTTTATTCTTATGGGACGAATTGTGTATTTTTTATTTCATTATTGTTGTTTTTCTTAATTTTTAGGCCCAAATAATCTCTTTTGGGCCCAAATTTGAAAAATAAAAATTAAGCTCAAAATGAAAAAAATAAAAATTGAAGGCCCAAAACAAAGATTTTGGATTTAACCGGTTAACCGCCAAACCGGACCGTCCAATGCGATCCGGATTATGGTCGGTTAAAAAATAAAACCGATCCGGTTATGGGCAAGAAAAAAAATTAACCGTTACATCCGGTTTGGTCATGGTTTGGGCTAAAACCGGACTAATCCGGACCATGAACACCCCTAATTCATATAGTCGAGCCCACTTAGTGGGATTAATGGCTTGTTGATTGATTGATGAATTAAATAAACTCACACAATCGAGTTCTTATAAACTTAAACGAGCCAAGATCGAATAATTTCGATTCAATTATTATTAAGCAAACACGAATTCAGATGTAAACTACTCGCTCGACTCGAATAACTAAAAATGATATATTCCACGCATTTGCTAAATAAGCTCAATTATGCGACTTTTCTCTATTATATATTGAGTAATTTTTTTAATCCATGACAGTAGGCATGTTAAAATGATATTGGGTTCGCGGGCCATGCCACCTGTCCCACTTAGAGGGGGGTTGGGCCTAAACCGGTTGGCTCGTGCAGGCTACGGGTTTTGAGCAGGATAGGTCGGGGCTGCGTCTTAAAAAAAAAAAAAGTGTTTTGCTTGAGCGTTTTTTACCTTGGGTCAACAATCAAAAAAATGTTCTGTACCAAAAAACGGTTGGGCCAACTAAAAAGCTTTTAGGGTGTGATTGGATATAAACTAGACTAGTAAAAAATCAATCAAAATTTAAATTTAACTCAACCTCACTATCTTCAATATTATAAATATATATAAATGATATCAATTAATCATTTTTATATATCACGTTAACTTTAATTAACTATTCATCTACTTAAATAATTTTAATTAATCATCACTTTTAATCATTTTTTTATATTTTACAAATTAACTTTAATTATTTTATTTTAAATATTATTTTAATTTAAACTTAAATTACACTAATAACTAACAATATCACCTATTTTATAATTAACTATATAGTTAACAACAAAACCAATCAAATTCATATCCAATCACACTTTTAATATTTCCCTTGACTAAAATTTGTCTTTGTCAAACTCGTTTTCAATTTCTGTCCACCCTTGACTAAAATTTGTCTTTGTCAAACTCGTTTTCAATTTCTGTCCAACTCCATTTTTCTGCATAAAAACAAAACAGACAAAACAGAAGGGTTACTTACAGGGAGTTACAGCAACCAAAAAAAATCGAACCATATAAAAACCTGAAACAATCGGCGAAAGGACAAAAAGACTTAGCGACGGCGGCTAGACGGCAGAACGGCGAGCGGAGAAAGGCGTGGTGGAGGTCCGGCGAGCAGTGAAAGACGAGCGAGCGGCGACTGCGTGCTGCGAGCGTTGAGGCGGCGCACGTCGATCGAGAGCGGCGACCGGCGAGGCGGCGGCACGGCATAGAGTGACTCCGACTCCGAGCGGTGAAGCAGGTAGTTCGATGGCTGAACCTTGAACTGAACTTGCACTTCGGCCTTTGCTATTAAATTATCATAGAATCTGAAATTGATGGCTATGAATATTTTCCAAGCCCAAGCTAGCAGAGGGCCTCAATTTTGTTTTTCTCCAATCCCAACAGCCGGAAATTTCATGATGCAAGTCCATTAGATTAGCCTATTTTTATTTATTTNNNTTTAGCCCGCTGCCCGTGGCGTTGTTGGGCCGGGCTGGTCATATGGAGGCCCACCAGGATAGAGACCCGGCCCGACATACTGCGGGTTTTGACTGCAGCTCCTAAAAATGTATTCAGTAACTGCGGCTCCTTAAAATGTCAAATTTGGCATCCGAATGAAATTTGACTGCTCCACAGTTGATATCTGCGTTTATAGTCTCCACTCTCTACCTGCATTTGCTCCTGCGAAGATTTCACATTCCAACCAGGTCATTTTTTTTTCCTTCAATTTTTCTGTTAAAATGTAAGTACAGTTAATCCAACGCTGCAAATTCGAAAATATTAGGTTTGAATTTGCATATAACTGAGAGATCCACTGCGCACGCGTACACAAACACCTTGAATTTAACCATATCGGCATAATCATAAAGTTTTCTTCGTTTACAAGCTGTTTAGCAGCTGAAGAAAATTAATTATGTGACTGTAAGCTTGGAATTGTTCGTTTCACTGTGCATTTGATTGGGCTTAGCGTTTGAGGTGGTTAAGGGGACATGCTTGGAGGCGGAAATTGTTGAATATAGCTGATCATTAACAACTTGGTGAAAATTACATAGGTGGCCGTTTTTATATTATATTGATTTAGTTATTCATCTGATTTTTGATTTGTTGTTTCTCTTGTTCAGATCTAATTCGATATTCAATTGCTGACAAATGGCAGTGTGAGTCGGCTTGTTCTAGTTTTAATTACAGTATGTTTTTGGTTCTCGGTGATGATGTGTTAGTGATTGTGTCCTAATTGATTAATGAGTAGGGTTGCTTCTGCTCCGGGAAAAGTTCTGATGACAGGTGGATATCTTATTCTCGAGAGGCCTAATGCAGGGATTGTACTTAGTACAAATGCCCGATTTTATGCTATTGTCAAGCCGCTATATGAGGACCTTAAACCTGACAGTTGGGCATGGGTATGTGATGATCTGCGGTAGAACATGATAATGTGTGGTTCAATTCTATCTCCAAGTTTGATCCTTAAATGGATAATTTTGAGCTAAAAGATGGCACTCTTGCCATACCGCCTGTTTATTTTATTTTGATTGAGTTTCCAAGATTTCTATTGTATATCCTATTACTCCGTTTGCTCCAAATGGTTTGTATTTTGTGGTGTATCATCTTACCAAAATTTCGTTGTATTTCAGGCATGGACAGATGTGAAACTGACATCTCCTCAGATGGGTAGAGAAACTATGTATAAACTGTCTCTCAAGCATCTGCAGCTACAGTGTGTAACTTCAAGGTGAAAAATACACCATTTAAATTTTCTATGTAATGGACCAAATTAACTGTGGCGTGTTTGCGTATGCTTATGAATTGAACATATCTTATTGAAGTCTAAACCACTTTTTTTCACGTACTATTGTCTGAGCAAGAACCATATAGCCAATCAATGCTTACATGAGATAATTATTTCCCTATGCCTACTCAGTGATTCAAGAAACCCATTCGTAGAATATGCATTGCAATATGCTATAGCAGCAGCACATGCAACATTTGACAATACTAAGAAGGAGGAGTTACATAAACTTTTGTTGCTAGGTAAAGTTGGATATGAAACTCCCGATCTTTCTTCAAAAGCTAACTGAACTTAGAAATTCTAATGTCTGTTCTGGTCTAGTCATGCAGGTCTTGACATTACGATTTTAGGCTGCAATGAGTTCTATTCATATAGAAATCAGGTATTCAACTTCGCCATTATTCTACTGGATTTTTTACCAGACAATTTGCTTAATTTGGCAATTGGGCCACGTTTGAATGATGTTTATGATAAGAAATTACAAAAACTAACCTTTTCAGCATAGTGGAAAGGATTTTAAAAGTTATGCATACACATGGATATGGAACTGTTTTTGTGAAAATGCTTCTTTCAGAATGTAATATGTTACCTATTTTTTTTTTTTTTTTTTCCAAATTTTACAAGTATTGATGTTAGACGGGTACTCTCTCTCACAGATTGAAGCACGTGGCCTGCCTCTAACTCCCGATTCACTGGTTTCTCTCCCACCTTTTACTTCAATTACCTTTAATGCAGAGGAATCTAGTGAACAAAAGAGCAAACCCGAAGTTGCCAAAACTGGATTGGGCTCGTCTGCTGCTATGACAACTGCGGTTGTTGCTGCTTTACTTCATTACCTTGGAGTGGTCAAACTTTCCTTAGAAAATAGTTCTCTTCCTGGGGATCAAGTCTCGAAGGAATTGGATGTCGTGCATATCATAGCTCAAACTGCTCACTGTATAGCGCAGGGTAAAGTCGGTAGTGGTTTTGACGTGAGCTCTGCTGTTTATGGAAGTCAAAAGTATATCAGGTTTTCGCCTGAAGTACTTTCTTCTGCTCAGGTATTTGGCTTTCTTGTCCTGAAAATGTTATTACGTGGGTTTCTGTAGAAATGCATGTTTCTTGCTACCATTGCTAATACTTGTGAAATACAAAAACTGCTCTTTTTTATGAAAAGAAAAACACTTAGGCCTCTTTCTTCCCAATAAACATATCCAAAGGACCATATCTAGGGCTATACGGACTCGAACTGTAGACTTTCTCGGTAAAACAGATCAATCATTCTTTGTTCCAAAATCAATCTGTTTTTGTGTTATTTTATACTGTACAATTTTTTCTTTGTGGGATCATTTTCCTACGAGAGTAGATGTGTTCATTGTCTCAAATGTGCATAAGGGTGTACGTGTACTCATACGGAGTGTGGCCCATCCAAATATTTTATTAACTGGCACCACTCCATGTGAGAATACATTCACCCTTATGTACGCTTTAGTTATGTGAAGTAGCAAATTTCGTTTTTATATGTCTATTTTTTTCAGAACATTGGAGGGTGTGGTAATGTCGGAACATGCTTGCTTTATCTTGTGTTCGTCTCCTGGAAAATTGATTGCTGATGTATTGCAGGATGCTGCTCGAGGGCTTTCAATGCAAGAGGTCATAGGAGATGTGCTAAAAGCCAACTGGGATCACAAGAGGACGAATTTTCAATTGCCACCGATGATGTCACTGGTGAGTCAGATAAAGCATAACTGATTTGATGATAGTCTAATCAAGTGCTTTTATCTTAGTTTCGAAATGTTTCATTTACATGTGGTCCAATCTTCATTAACTAATGTCATCTGCTGAGGTTCTTCTTATTTGAAATTCCAGTCAAGGGTCTCCAGTAATATTGTGATATGGACTTATAAAATCATGATTTTGGGCAGTGTGCCATTAATAAAGAAATGTGTGCATAGAATATATACCTGCCTTTCTTGCCATTTGGCTAAATAAATAATAATCCTTATTCATGTTCTTCTAAAACAGTCAAGTCTCAAGTCTGTCCGATCAAACACAACCAGGTCGTAATTAATCCAGAAGTGATGAGTTTTCCTTTCTTGCTAAACTCAGTAATACTGTAATCAATATTGTCCAATGTCGAGCAATATTTATCCCATTAGACCTTTAACGATCCATTTTTTGTATTATATGTTAAGAGTTCCCCACTCCTGTTCCCATCTTAGAATAGTGCGGAAACGAAAGGTAAATTGTGAGAGAAAAGAGAAAAAAAAAGTTCAAGAGATTTTGAAACCTAGGATTTAGATATCTGGTGTTCACGTCTAAAACATTTGGTCTCGTACTTAGTTGCGCGTGGTGCATGTGCAGGTACTTGGAGAACCAGGAACAGGGGGATCCTCAACACCATCAATGGTTGGTGCTGTAAAGAAGTGGCAAAAATCTGATCCTCAAGGCTCGTTCGAAATATGGAAAAAGTTGTCGGAAGCGAATTCAGCACTTGAAATGCACCTCAACACCTTAAGCCAATTGGCAGAAACAAATTTCGATGCTTATAGAATAACCATTGACAAATGCAGCAAACTTACGTCTGAAAAGGTAAGCCAAAATTTGTTCCACCCATGTGATAATTGGCAAAAGAATGTCTTTGCTATAGCTAGCTTCAACCATTATATTCTTGTCGTATGTGATTATAAGTTCTACAGCTCCTATCAAATGAGTTCTCTAACTACAATTTTTTAACAGTGGGCAGAGGGAGCTGTGGGGCCATACCAAATAGAAGTGATTAAAGCACTTTTAGGAGCTAGAGATGCCATGCTGTCAATCCGGACTAATATGCGCAAGATGGGTGAGGCTGCCGGAATTCCTGTAAGTTCTTTTTGATTAATTTGGTAACTAAACAAATTGAAATGAGAATTTTGTAACTTCTACGTTTATTTATTCCATAAAACTACGGTTGTGATTCTAAGGTGATGTTCTTAGGGACATGACTGATTGAAATTTTCGAGCAAGAAATTTAAGTAGAGTGACTGACCGTTATTTTTCTCGGTAGATGAAACTTTTTGACCTTACCGAAAATCTGGACTCTCCTTTGCAGTTAGCATTATTTTTGATTTCTCACACTTATTGTTTCTATTTTTGCTTTATGTATTAACTTTACTCCCGTCAATAGTTTCACTGTTGCCTTCTTTTCATCTTTTCCAATATTTGACTCTTCAGAAAATTGTATGTACGTTAATCAGCTCATTCGTTTTGCAATACTTAATAATAATAATAATAATAATATAAAGTACAAGAACCAAACTACGATACCCATTTAATCCCATTCATTATTTCCTTTCCTTTTCTTTGTTTTTTTTTTCTTGATCATGCATGCCCTTTTTGCAGATAGAGCCCGAATCACAAACCCGTTTGCTAGATACCACGATGAATACAGAAGGAGTTCTATTGGCTGGTGTTCCCGGTGCAGGTGGATTTGACGCGGTTTTTGCCATTACCTTGGGAGCTTCAAGCAGCAATGTCGTGAAGGTTTGGAGTTCGCTCAATGTTCTGGCCTTGCTAGTGAGAGAAAATCCACGTGGCGTTCATCTAGAGACCAATGATCCAAGAACTACCAAGATTACTGACTCGGTTTCTAATATTCATATCGGGTGAGTTCTTAGTTTTATGCTGCCACTTGTGTTTTTAGCAATTAATTTGAGATGGAATAATTGTATTTTTTTTTATTTTTTTTGCAACATTCAGATAAGAAGTTTGTGAGTGATATTTACTAAAAGGAAATAATTTACTAAAATAAGGAAACAAAACACGCCTGTTGTATTTTCTTTTTGAAATGCTTTTGCAATTTAGGCATTGGATGGTGTTGGAGCTTGAAAGATATTCAGGAGGTTTTGTTCATGGTTCATTATTCTTCAATGAGTTTGGCATCTATGTGTTCATGTATTGATGTTTTATTTACTGCTTATTTTCAAGACCTTGAATTGTACCTTGGATTTCTTTGGGGCCTTTTTTATATTGATACAAATTCCAAAATGGACGTGCTTTTAGAAAATAATAAGCTCTGATTGCTAGTCGGAACTAGTGATTGTCGGATAGGTAATCGTGGTTTCACAACAGATTCGTATACTTTCATGTTGAAGTGAAAAACCTAACGGTTGTTTGATAGACAATCATACTTTTGCAACAGATTCGTATATTTTCATATTAAAATGTATTGTTTTAAATAATAACATCAACACATGTGTGATTGCATTTTTTTCATGTTGAAATATTTTGTTTTTATAAAATAACCTTAACAAAAAATGACATTTTATAAAATAAATTGACCTATTATTCAAAAAAAGTGTGCGGTCTAAAGATTGTGTAGTCTAACAAGGCTTGTATTTAAGAAACACACTTTCATGAATTGGAAATTTTATCAGCTCTGACTGAAAGTCTGAAACTTGTTTAAATTATTGAATGTCCAGCTTGGCAAAAATATAAGTTATTTTATGTGATGTGATGTGAAAACTGAAAAATAACAAATTTATATATAAGTTATATCAAATTTTATGTTATTTTGTTTGCTACTGTAACATGACCGTTTTCTATTTTTACAGTGACGTGGTTTGTTAGAAGTTGTCCACCAAAAATTTGGACACTAACCACTCCAATTATTTCAAGTGCAGCTGTTTCAGTAGTTAGCAAAAGCACAAAATTGAGAAGGAAAACTAGGTGAAAGTTCCACCATTTATGCCATTGGTTAAAATAATTTTGAGTTTTGTTGGTAGTTATTATTTATCTTATTGAAATTGAAAATAAGTAATTTATTTTTAAATACTATTCATTTCATTTCATTTTTTTTCCCTATGCAAATCCCACTAACACAATTAAAAAATAAAATTAATAATAATCATTATATATTTTCTAATTAAAAATATTATTTATTCACTCACACATTTCTAAATCAATCAATTTTTTGTTGTTTTTATATCATATCACCTTTAGTTATTACATATTATTTTATATATTCGCAATACTAATATTATCTTCTTTCTTTCTATAATTGTTTTTTTTTTCACTTTTTAGTCTCACTTTTTTTTTGGATGATAATTTTTTTTGGAAATATCTTATATCCAGTCAGTGTATTTGTTTGACTGTGTTCTATTATAATCTCCCTTGTACTTCAAACCAAGATCAAATTTAGTTTAAAGACTAAAATTTATATATAGTTCAAAATGAAATAATAATAATAATAATCTCATGTTAAATGTAAAATAAGATGCTTACTATATCATTGTATATACTAATAAATTGTGCTAATCCAAATCAATTTTCAACTCTCAATTTTTTTATAAACACCCGTGGATGAAAGAACAAAAAGGATATTATGGGCGTGATAAGCCTTTAAAGTTTAAATCAATGGCAATAATTGCTTTTTACCAAGGCTGCCTATTGTACGTGAGGCTTTAATTATGTGATTTTAAACATGTTTTCCCCACATAACTTTTGATCTCACTTTTTCCCTTTGACATTGGAACATAAATTTACTATACCTACAGTGTAATGTGTTATGTGTGCCTTATATTTATTTATTGTATTCAATAGACATATGAATATACATCAATAAATTTGTAAATGTTCATTAAGCTTATTAGTAATTGGTTGATAAGTTAATTTATTTAAAATAAAAACCTTATAGGTATGTATTATATATTTTTAAATGTGCATAATAATTAAGTATCTCATTGTGTAATTATCTTTCATTCTGCCAACGTAATCATTAAACAAATATAATATTTTCATAAACATGAATGATTTCATTAAAAATATCATACTTAGAAAAAAAAGTATGACATTTGATGATATAATTATAATTTTTTGCACAAAAAGTATGACGGGTAGACACATCAATGGTTAGACTGCTCCACAAAAGAATTTGTGATAATCTTTAGATTTGAATAGGTTTCCCAAATAGTTTCAATTTAAAATATTATTATTTAGATAACAAAATGACATGAGTTTTATTTGAGAAAAAAATTGTATAACTTATTTTGAGGATATTTGTGTATTATATATGTGTGTAATTTGTGTTATGATTTACATTTTCAAGATGTGATGAGGTTAATCATAGCTTTACAAGTTCTCCATCTGCATTAACGGGCTAACTCACATTTTTTGATTCATTTTGTAAGAGTAAAGATGTAAAATTTCAACAACAATTTCGGAAATAAGCAACGTAATCTAATGTACAAGCTTGATATAATTGCAATGTAAGATTAAAAGTTAAATAACACAAGAGTTAGAGCCTATGTTGTAAATTTGATTACACGACCAGCTGGTTCAATATATGCATAAATTACCTAAATACCCCAAAATGAACTTAATTTGACCTAAAAAATCGAACAAAAATCATGAAATTCGAGCAAATCTCAAGCCAACAAAATTCTCATGAAGTTCGAGCGAATCTCAAGCCGATATTGAGCCAATCGATCTCAAGCATTTGTAATTTTACACAACATTGTTCAGCCAAGTTGAGCCTTAACGATCTTGATTTCTCGAGCTGCAGATCAGGCAAAAGTAAACAAAAACAAACTCAACCTTATAAAGATATCGACATGTCTTGCTCGTTTGCAGCCCTAACGAATGTATGTAATATTTTGGTGATAATTACTACGTGCATTAATCCTGATATTTGAGAACTTTAAGAAGGTCAAAGTCAAACATGAACTTCAATTGGTATTGGGTGCATTAATCCTGATATTTGAGAACTTTAAGAAGGTCAAAGTCAAACATGAACTTCAATTGGTATTGGGTGTGAACAATTATGGTGGTAGGAATATATCTTTATAAACTTGTATTTGATCATTTAAGCGATCATTATAAAATTCATATATGGTTATTATTTTATCTCATGACTATGATGTCCATAGCATATATTGATAATGGCGCATGAGAATAATTGACAAGATTTTTTTAAAACATTTTTCTTATTCATTTTTTCTCCAATCTAAAATATTTAAATGGTCTAACTTTGTCTTTATTTTTTTTAAAAGTACAATGGATAAATTTATAGTGAAATATATTTTTGTAATATAGTTTCAAAATAATGTAATAACTTTTTTATATTATTTCAAAATAAAATTATGTACGCATTTATATATTTCAAACGTATCTCTATCATTTGGTGAGTTGGATTAAGACTACTGTTTTAATATCAACTTGTTCTCTAAAAAAATCATTAATAATTTAATCTTTTCAAGTATAAAAGTGATGTAATACCAAAAGAAAGAGAAAAAGAAAAGAGAACTTTATTGTAAAATGTAACTTCCTCAAGATGTAGCAAGAAAAATAATAACGATTTTTGCCATGATATACACCTTTTAATTTATATCATTATTTTTTTAATAATAACACAAATTGAGAAAACATGATAATGATTGATTTCTAATTTTAATTATTAAGAAAAGAGAAAAATGAATAAAAAAAACTTTTTTTTAGTGTCTGAAAAATGGACTTTGTTTTGTCCAACACGGTGGCCTAACAATCCCACCCAACAACTTATGTGAAAAACTGAAAATAGCAACTTTTAGTTGGGGTTTGTTTTAAAATTACACTAAATATGAGGTGCTGCAATAATAATATTTCAAAATCTTCACCACGAACTGTGTCCATCAGTGGATCTCACAATAGCCCAGCCGCAGTTTCGAGTGTGTAAAACACGCACCATCATCACAGTCAAAATATTACCTCTCATCTTCATCATCACAACGGACACCACTAACTCCAAACCGTGCCCTCACATGGACCCACCTTCTCTCTGTCATCATCTCAATCTACACACAGTACACACACAACAAAAACACATGTAATGTAATAAATATATTTATGCATACAAAACATGTGTATGCAAATGCAAGATACAGTTTTTTTTTTGGTACAATTTTTTTTTGGTACAAATGCAAGATACAGTTTTGAATCACTGAATGTAATTTACAGTATGATTTTTATGCTATTTTATAAAAGGAGCGTGTAGATTCATGAGACTTATCTTTACCCCTTTTGGTTGAGTCGAGCTCACAGAGCTTTGGAGCTTTTTAAAAGCAGATCTTTTTTTGTAAAGCTAGTGATTTTTTCGACAGCCCTAGTGATTTTTGATTCACTCAGCCATTGTTAATTTACCTGCCCTTTGTCCCTTTTCTCAGGTACATGTGTGTGCTCACTAAAAGGTCTTCATTTTTCAACCTTCACACATTTCTTTTGCAGCATCTTTAACAAAAAGTTATAAAGGTTTGCAATTTATAACCATTCACAAATTTTTCTGTCTGCCCATTTTACAATTTACAGGCGAAAAGAGATTTCCTAGTATAGATGCAAGGTTTGACATCAATTTTAAAAGGGAAAAATTTGGTGAAAATTGTTTACTTTGATTATTTAATTCTTTATGGGCTGCTGAGTGACAAAAGTCTTTGGCTTTCTGGTTAAGTTGTTTTTCATTTCGTATTTTACTTTTCCTCCTTTACTTGACATTTCTTTGTGAGCTCGTCTTTTTTTTTTCTCCCTTCCTATCTTAAACCTGGAGAATTTACGGGTCATGTGAGGAAGTTGGCTACGAAAGTTGAGGATAACAAATCTAGTATTTTACTCGAATTCGTGCTCTGAATTTTTCAACTTTCAGAATATTGAAGCTTTCTTTTCACAAGTTCACCATTTTTGACTCGAAAGTTCCTCGATTTTTCTCTGCCCTTTTCCCTCTCACGTTTTTATGCGACTGAGAGATGTTTGAATGCCTTGCTAGCTGAAAAGCCCATGCTCGGACGGTTGATTTCTCTGGGTTTTTTTAAAAAAAACTCCAATATTCTGCACTTGATCGAATCGTTTCAGATTTGAAGGCTCCCAAATCTAGCCATGGCGTAAAAAAGGAAAAAAGGTTTTAATCTTTGCTCCGTCGGTGAAAGACATATCTTTCTCACCCGCCGCGTGTTCCACCCAAATCTTGTTCAAAAAATTCACCGGATATTCGAATCCAATTATTCTTTTCCAGCAAAAAATGGAGAAGAACGAGGCAGATAACTGGAGGGAGATGGTCAGGAAGATGCTCCCACCAGGTGCCCCTATCCCGGACAACGACAAAATGGACTACTCGATAGCCCTCGAGTACAATGGGCCTCCGGTCCATTACGACATCCCACAGGCCGAGCCCCTCGACTTGAATCCGGCCCAAATCCCAACCGCCGACCCGCTTTCCGAGTCCAGACGATCCATGGCCCGCGACTCGGCCCCTGTGATCGAGCCCATCCCCCTCCCTAGGACCCGAATTTCGAGCCCATCCACCGAGTCAGTTGTGTCTGTTTTGCAGAACGATGATTTCTCTTCACGATCGGGATCGGGCTCGCCGGGGTCGGTCCACAGCTGGCAAGACGGGCCAACCCCTCCAAACGAGGCAAGGCGGCCAACAGTTGTGACTTTCAACACGGCTGATAGGTCTGAGACTCGGCCAACCGATGGCGAAAAGCAGGTTTTCGAGCAATTCGTGGTTGGCTTACCCAAGAAGACGAAGAAGAAGAAGAGGAAAAAGGCGAGGGTTTGCTATAGGTGCGGGAAAGGGAAGTGGGAGAGTAAAGAGAGTTGTTTGGTTTGTGATGCGAAATATTGCAGCAACTGTGTGCTCCGGGCCATGGGCTCGATGCCCGAGGGGCGTAAGTGCGTCACGTGTATTGGTGAGCCGATTGACGAGGTGAAGAGGTGCAGATTGGGTAAGCACTCGAGGCTTTTGTCTCGTTTGCTCAGCCCATTGGAGGTTAAGCATATCATGAAGGCCGAGAAGGAGTGTTCGGCCAATCAGCTTCGGCCAGAGCAGTTGATTGTGAACGGGTATCCTTTGAAGCCGGAGGAGATGTNTTTTTTCGAATGGGGTAAAGTGAGTGAGTGAAAATGTGGTCATTCAGTTTGTGGTGTGTTTGATTTGACAGGAGGGAGAGAAGCCTGATAGAATTATTAGTTCGAATTTGAATTTTACGGGTAAACTAAGCCCGAGCGCGAGCAATGGGAATACTGAGGTGTACATGAATGGTCGAGAAATTACGAAGCTTGAGCTGAGAATATTGAAGGTTGGTAGTAATCTGGGAATTTACTGAGTCTGACTGTGTTTTTATTGAATTGTTTATGTTGATGCAACTAAAAACCTGGAGAAATGTGGGTGCTTTACACTAAAAACTTGCTGAAGCATCTTTTATCTATTTAACTTTGTTAGAGTGACTGCTGTGGCAACATTGTTTTCGATAAAGACTAAAAAGCTTGCTTGTATATACTTCAGTTGAGATTGGCATAATAATCTAACTTAAAAACTTGTTGTCAAGTGTTTGAATCAAATGCTCATCAGTTTGTTGATTTCTATATGACGTTAAACCCAAAGCTTAAGTATAGGAAAGTCTAAATAATTGTTAGGTACATCGGAAATTCAATCTTATCAATGCTTGTTTTCAGATCTTGAGCCTTTAGCAAGTTTTAGGTCATTATGTATTACCTCGTGTGTGATTCAGCTTGCAAATGTACAATGCCCTCGTGATACCCATTTTTGGGTGTATGACGACGGACGATATGAAGAGGAAGGCCAAAATAATATCAGAGGAAATATCTGGGAAAAGGTAGAGATCTCAAGAGTTAAATATGATTATCTTAAATAAATTACAACTGTAGAGGCATTATTTTCAGTGGAATCATGTTGAACGACACCTCGAATCTTATCACTTTAGGCATCAACCCGATTCGTGTGTTCCTTGTTCTCTCTGCCTGTTCCTCAAGGTCAGCCACATGGGCTAAAGGATGAGCCTAGCAACTACACGACTGTACCGAGTTATCTCAAGCCGAAAAAGAAGTTTCAGAAGCTTCTTCTTTTTGGACTCCAAGGCTCTGGTACCAGCACCATTTTCAAGCAGGTAGTTTTAATTGAGTTTCAATAGGTGATGTTATAGACAGCTATTAAGCAGTCAAAGCTGTCAATATTCCTGTGCTCACATTAATCAGAAGCAAAAAATATGCCATTACCGATACCGAGAGCTATCTTTAATCAAGAAAACTACGTTTTCTGATCTTTTCTTTTCATTCTCTTTGTTTTTCCTGTGTGTTAATGATTTTTTTTTTCTTTTCCTATTCCTTTCATTTTCTTTTATATTTCCTCCTCTCACTGAACAGGCCAAGTTTTTATATGGGAGCAAATTTACCCCTGAGGAACGACAGGATATGAAACTCATGATCCAGAGCAATATGTACAAGTATCTCAGCATCTTGCTCGATGGTCGGGAACGTTTTGAGGAAGAAGATTTATTAGAGAGAAGAAGGCAAGCTTCTGACAAAGAAGCTGCTGAAGCAGGTATCAAACAAAAAGGACTCTTCGGTAATTATATGTCTGAGGTTATCTCAGTAGGTCTTTCTATTGCTGTATGAAGCGAAAAATATGACAAAACTTGAATTTTTATGGTTCAGTAACTAATGTTGGTACTGTTATTAAAAAATTCATTTCTAGTGCTTTCGCTTCATGTCGTGATTTTGGTTTCTATAAGTTTTTGCAGAGGAAGATCATGGCACCAATGATAATAATAACCAAAGCATTTATTCTCTCAACCCAAGATTGAAGCACTTTTCTGATTGGCTGCTTGACATAATTGCCACTGGGGATTTGGATGCATTTTTCCCAGCAGCAACACGCGAATATGCCCCTCTCGTTGAGGAAGTATGGAAAGATCCTGCTATTCAGGAGACTTATAAGAGAAAGGATGAACTCCACTTTCTTCCGGACGTAACCGAGTACTTCTTGAGCAGGGTATATTCTTTTCACACTTTAAAGCCGAGTGTTTAGGTGTAATTGTGAGAGAAAGAGAGAGAGAGAGGGCTTGTTTGCAATACTTATCTGGTCTTTCTTGAAAACTTGATCAAATTCGATACAGTTACCAAATCCTCCTATTTTTTTTTTTGGGTCTCACAGGCAGTTGAAATATCGAGCAACGAGTATGAACCTTCGGACAAAGATATACTGTTTGCTGAAGGGGTGACTCAAGGTAATGGGCTGGCTTTTATGGAGTTCTCATTGGACGATCGGAGCCCAATGTCAGAAACTTATACAGAGAATATGGAATCTGGGCCCCCACCTCTCACCAAGTAAGTTTTCCTTGTCAGGAAGAAATATTGTCGGCTCGAAAGGAAAATTTTCAACTCTTGAATTGGATATGGATATTTATGGTTTGGTTTAGTTTTCTTATACCAATCAG